TCATATATTATTATTTTCATTATTTCATGACTCTTTATTGTTATTCCGACGAACGTATGTTCGAAGGGTACAGCAAATTTTCCTTACCGTTTGTAACGCAAAGAAATAATGGTGTTAGATATAGATTCAAGTGAATGTTTTTGATCAGCGTCGAATTCTGAGTCGATTTAGCTCCGACTCGTCTGTCCGTCCGTCCCAACGATAACTCAAAAACTAATTGAGCTAAGCTTACCAAATTTTCAATATCTCAGAAACTATAGAAGCTGTGATATTGAAATTTCACACAAGCAAATATATTCGATAAAATTTGTTGAAATTGCTTGGGTCTTTCTGAGTTATCTTAGAAAATATTGAAATGTACTGAAATTTTTCATAAATTAATATGGTAATATGGCAACAAAGGAATAGTCGGTTCCAGAGTCAGCTATGACATATTTATTCGCACATAGGATAGCAAATTCGTTATCACAGAGTTGGCATGGTCAACTCTCTTTTTTTTGTTCGTTTTTTTTTTAAGTTTTTTCTTGTTTTTTTGATTTATTTTTATATTTTAGTCGCTTACCAGTTTGTTTTAAAAATCAACATCAAAAATTTGTATTATTGTGTCGCTATTTTTATCTTAGAAAATATTGAAATGTACTGAAATTTTTCATAAATTAATATGGTAATATGGCAACAAAGGAATAGTCGGTTCCAGAGTCAGCTATGACATATTTATTCGCACATAGGATAGCAAATTCGTTATCACAGAGTTGGCATGGTCAACTCTCTTTTTTTTGTTCGTTTTTTTTTTAAGTTTTTTCTTGTTTTTTTGATTTATTTTTATATTTTAGTCGCTTACCAGTTTGTTTTAAAAATCAACATCAAAAATTTGTATTATTGTGTCGCTGTTTTTAAATGCTTCTTAAAATTTATGTGCCTGCAATTGGAAATTAAAATTGGAAATGGTAAACAATTTTTTGAAGGTGTAAGAACTAAAATAATTAAGCTGAGTTGGTTTATTAAACTTTTGAAGCACTTTAAAGGAGTTTAAAGCTAATAAAATTTTCAAATTACAAAATTTTTGTAAAAGAAATTTAAAGTAAACCATGAATTATAATAATAATTTCAACATAATAAGTGAAAAATTAAAAAGTTTCACAAAATAAATTTAAAACAACAATTTCAAAAAGCAACATTGTAACTTGCGGCAGAATTTTGGAAGTTTCCAAATTTTATTTAGGAAATGTTTTTAATAATTCAGTTTATATAATGAATTTATAGTTTTGTACATTACTTTTACTTATACATATACTCTTTCGCATTTCTTGTTGAATATATGCTGCGAACAGTAAAAGTAGAATCTTAATAGATTCAGTTGCTTTTCTTTTATCTTGTTATTATTTGTATAGGCACAAAAATCAATGAGAAATTTTGTTAATTTTGTTTTGCATGTGGGAAACTTAATTAACATTGGAAGCAGTGCTATTTATAATATGTTTTTAAAATGAGAATTTTTTATTTATTTAAATATTGTAATTATTTTTAATTAAGAACATTATTTGAGTATAAATTTATAACTATGTACATATATACATGAAATACACACATGTGTATTTACGAATACAACATAATTTAATATTTTTCTTGCTGGAAGACAAAAAATTTGCTCTAAATTTTTTGGATCTTAAACCGTTATTTAAGAATGCAGACATTATGTGTGTCTTTACTGCAACAACATGTGTATATTTTCTAACCATATTTATGTATATGTATATATGTACATATTTGCATTTTATTAATGCAGCTGCCACTCATTTCCAGTTATATTAAAATACTTTCATAAAGATTTTAAATAATTATAATGATTTTAACTTAACAAAAAACCAATTTAAATAAAATTCACACTTATGCTTATATTCTCCATTGTCCTGATGTGAACAGAGAATTAATAAATCCGTTTAAAAATTTACCTTAAATACATGTTTTATGTACCTTAAATACATGCGACATGTTTTGTTTATCATTTAATATTATTTATACAAAACAGGATCGTAAGGAACATAAATTTTACTTACACATATTTTAAATTGACATATAAATAACGTATATGACATAATATAATATCACTGCTCTGGTTAGTATAACCAATAATAAGTATAAGAAATTGTTAAACTGAAATAAAAAAAGCAAGAAAAAAGCACAATTCTGTTGAGAACAGGTGTAAATAGTTTCTTTTTAAAAAATTCTATAGTACCATGTATATCGATGTGTTTAATAATTAATGAAAATGATTACATACGAGTATTAAGTACATAAACATAATTATAACAAAATAAGTGTCAGTTATCTTTTTCTAAAAAAATTACAATATATTATAAAAAATAAATGCTAATTCAATCATTAAAAGTTCTTTATTACAAGAAGAAAAAATTCATTTGATTTTTTATAATTTCATTTTGGAGGCATTTAAAATACCAATTGCAGATACATATGTACGCAGATATGTATAAAATCATATTTAATGACAAATAAAGATCAACATCTTATACAAATCACTTGCTTAAAAATTTGATAAATAACATAATGCATATACATATATCAGTTTTAGTACGAGCTACGGCCTTTTAAAAAACAAGGTACCGCTACAAGGTACTTTTCCTGCATATAAATAAATGTTTATAACTTCGGCACCGTGCACAGTAATGTACTTGAAATGATAACATAGCATAAAACAAGCTTGAAATGATAACATTACAAGATTGTTCTTTATTTTTGATCTTATTGTTTTTTTGTATAAAATTCGTAATTTTTCGAAAGCTTGTGTTATTATTTTTTTTGTTTTCCGTTTATAATGCGCTGCAATAAGAGCTAAAAGTTAATCCATATAACATTTTCCTTTTACTCTCCTAGTTTTGCCAGTAAAACGTGTTAAATGTGTTAAAAAAACATACAAAAAATACAAATTCCACACATTTCATACAAATTTCTTATTAAATATACCAAATTAAAAACATATTTAGTCTCTGAAATAATTTGGGACTAAATATTACTGCAATTAAATGTTATTACTTATGTATTAAAATTATTTCACGTCTGGAAAATTTATATGTTACTTTACATATCATATATTTTCATTTTATTCCCCCCTGACAATAGTACAACAAGTCATCATCATCATCATTTGGCACTACAGCCCGGGGTAGGCTTTGGCCTTCTGCACAATTTGCCTCCAAGTTGTCCTTTCCTGCGCCGATGTTTTCCAATTTTGGATCCCTAGCCTTCGCGCATCGCTTTCTACATTGTCGACCCACCTTGTTCTTGGTCTACCTCTTGCACGACTGAGGTAAGGACGACCATTAAAAATCTTGAACTGTGCCCTTTCATCATCCATTCGGGCCACGTGTCCTGCCCATCTTAATCTCTGTGATTTTATAAATCTAACGATATCTTCTCCCCCTATTAACTGCTCTAATTCACTATTGCTTCGTCTTTCATATTCATCATTATCCAATCTTCTTGCTTTGAAAATTTTTCTTAATATTTTTCGCTCAAATACTCGCAGGGCTAGCATATCACCATTTGTCATTGACCATGTCTCACTACTATATGTCACGACTGGACGTATAATTGTTTTATATATAATTAGCTTGGTTCGTCTGGACAGTAGATTCGATTGTATGAGTTTCTTGTTGGCGTGATAGCTCCTGTTGCCCGCTTGTATTCTATCATTTATGGTATAGTGCATACTATTGTCGTTGCGAACTACAGCCCCAAGGTAGCTAAAACTTGTTACACGTTCGAAATTGTATTGACCAATTGTCATATTTTGTAATTGTCGCCTTCTCGGTGTTCTAGACATTTCTAGGTATTTTGTTTTTGCCTCATTTATTTTTAAACCGATTTTTGATGTTTCATTTTCGATTTCTACGAACGCTTCACACATGGCCCTTACACTTCTCCCAATTATAACAACATCATCTGCATATGCCATTATTTGTGACGTTCTTGAAAAAATGTTACCATCAGTATAAAATTTTCCTAAAGCATGTTGTAGAAGAAGATTAAACATTAGTGCAGATAGTGCATCTCCCTGTCTCACACCAGTTTTAATTTCAAATGCACCCGAGGTTTGTCCTTGTAAAACTATTTTGGCTTTTGAATTTTTTATTGTCATTATCATTAAATTTATAAGTTTTTGCGGTATTCCTTGTCTTTTCAGTGCTATTTCTAATTTAATTCTATCTACACTATCAAAAGCTTGTTTATAGTCAATAAAGAGCAAATGAAGATCTACATTGTGCTCGTAGCATTTCTCCATATTTTGTCTCAGTAAAAATATTTGGTCTACCGTCGACCTATTGCCTCTGAACCCACATTGGTATTCATCTATTATCTCCTCAGCCATTGGTTTGACACGTTCATAAATTACATTAGACAGGACCTTATACATACAGTTTAATAACGTGATCCCTCGATAATTATTACAGTCTGTTTTGTCACCCTTTTTGTGTATGGGACAAATCAAACCCATATTCCACTTTTCAGGTATAGTCTCTTGTTGCCAAATGTTACATATTAATCTATGTATACTTTTCTGAAGCTCCTCACCACCCATTTTTAACAGCTCTGCCGTTACGTTATCCTCACCAGGAGCCTTATTATTTTTCAATTTAAAAATTGCTGTTTTAATTTCGTCAAATGTTGGTAATATATCCAGGGGCTCTGCCGTCATCAACTCTTCTTCGTCATTTTGTTGTTGTTCATGGGGCACGTTTAATAGCTCTTTAAAATATTCTACCCAACGTGACATTATTTTATTTTCTTCTAATAACATATTCCCTGCCTTATCTCTACATATATTCAGTCTTGGCTGATATCCATTCGTCATTTTCTTAATATTATTATAGAATTTTCTAACGTCATTTTTATTGTGGTCCTTTTGAATATTTTCTACCTTACTTTTCATCATTTGTTTCTTCTTCTTTTTGCAAATTTTATTAGCAATTACTCTCTTTCGTTTACATTCTTCTCTGTTTGCTCATTTTTTTCCGCGCTTCATTTTTAATTTCAATTGCATCTTTACATTCGTTGTCAAACCATTCACTATTTCGCTGTGTTGGTGCCTTACCCACTATTTCTGTTGCAGCTGATATTATGGCTTTTTCGATATTTTCTGTCATGTTCTCTATTGTTTCGTTCTGACTGTTTACATTGTGGAACAAATGATGCTGTATTTTCTCTTGATAGTTTTCTTTGACGGTGGGCTGTAAGAGTTTTTCTGTATTCCACTTTATCTTTTTCTTACCTCGCTGCTTTGTAATATTTGATATTCTTTGCCTCACAGTAACCCTAACAAGGTAATGGTCACTGTCGCAATTAGCACCTCTGCACGACCTTACATCAATTATTGACGAAGCCCTCCTTGTTGTAACTAAAACATGCTCAATTTGATTTACTATGCCGCTCCCCGGTACTTTCCATGTGCCTTTATATATATTTTTACGCTCGAATGCCGTGCTTTTTATTTTCATTGATATTTCATCGGCAAACTGGCATATCCGCTGACCATTATTGTTGCATACTTCATGTAATGAGTATTTACCAGCAATATTCACTACATGCTGCTCTCTGCCCACTTTTGCATTGAAATCCCCCATCAATATTAAAGTGTCATATCTATCTACTTTTTCGCACACATTACTTAGACTTTCATAAAATATATCTTTGTCTTCAGCATCTGCATCTTCGATCGGGGCGTAAGCGGTTACTATTGTGATGTTACAAAATTTTCCTTTTAATCTTATCATAGATATTCTATCATTAACTGGTTCAAAAGCCATTACGGTGCTTTTTATCTTTTTGTTTATCATGAATCCAGTACCATACAATCCAGTTCTCCTACCAGGTGCGCTTCCGCTGTAGAATAACGTATATTGAGGCTTTTCGATTTTTCCTTCATTGGCCCACCTTATTTCTTGCAAAGCCATAAGGTCGATTTTATATTTTGCCATTTCATTTGCTACCTCTTGCATCTTCCCTATTTGTAACATAGTCCTAACATTCCAAGTCGCTATTTTCAAATCATTATCAAACCATTATTTCCGTTCGATATCCGAGGCTCATTGTGAGATTCCATAACAATATTCTTTTTGACGTTGTCCGGTTGTTAGCCGCACGAACAACCCCCAACTTGGGGGACCAGGTCATTTAATTTCGGAGTTTCCGTCTCCTAGCCTTTGAGAATCCAATCTCAGCAAGTACAAGGCAGCACCGTTTCTTCCTTCCTCGTCCGTTCCTGACCAGATTACTACACTGGGGTTGGTTACCCAATCGTTCATACTGGTTGCTCAGGGTATCAGGTTCCACCTCGCGAAGGTGAGGATAGGAATTGGATAGGAGAGCATACAACAGCATATATTCGCATCGCTATCCCATTTTGGAACCCAGTACAACAAGGCAAACGGAATATTCCAGAATCACGTACCCGTGCATTATTAACTTTGTAAGTTTTATAAAAATATGGAACTGAATCTTTTATTCATGTTAATATAATATTAATTTACGTATATTTTCCGAAAATAGTTGGAAAATCTTATATGACAGGAAGTATTAACACAATTTGATGTGGAATTGAGGGAGAATTTCAATACCTCTTCAAACATACAGGCATATCACACAAAAATTTGGTACGATTGTGGTACCGTCGGGATATTTATCGAATTGTTAACTATTTCGGTAACTATTTTTTACGTATTTGAAAAAGTGTATTTAGAAGGTAAACACAGAAAGCAAGAAGTCTTGCAGATCTTGTGGGAAAAGTGGTGAAGTCCTTGGTGGCATACAGATGTTCTTACGAACTTTACAAATTGCTCTTGCTCTGATTTTTGCTTTTTGAAATTCTACATGTTTTTAAAAAACTTCCCTTTTAAATTCTGTTGAATGAAATTAAAAGAAAAATGGGAGAAAGAAAAATGAAAAAATTGTTCATATTCGCCTTTAAGTATGGTTTCAAATATTAATGAAGAGGGATATGAGACTTTTTCATGTACATTTTGTATTTTTCAATAAGGTAAGTTGGATAGTAATGTCTTTATATCTAACAAGTCCCAATGCTCAGAGAGAAACTTGAAAGTACGACCTTATTTTATATGGATTTTTTTAAATTAAAGTGGCTATTTTTTTAAAAGAAATATTGAAATAAATTTACACTTATTATAAAGCAGGTAAAACTCTAAAAATATATTTGAAAAATCAAGAAAATATATTAATATTTTCATTCAGAATTATTTTAAAATTCTTAAAATAGCGGAAAAACAACAAGTACAACCTTCGCCTTCAACGTTTTATATGTTACTGAAAGCATTTCATTATTTTTAAGTGAACAGCTTTTTTTTCTCATAAGGTAAGTTAACTCAAGATATGGGAAGTAACTTTGGTGTCAAGTTGAAAATATAATTAATGAAAGATAATTATTGAATATTGAAATAAATACATAGTAAAGAAAAAATTTTAAGAGGGAATTAGAAAATAATATCTAAAATACAATCAAATATTATTTTTTAAATACAAATTTTATATACACTTCTAAATTTTACTTCTATTTGTGAGAAAATTTTTTACCTAAGTAAGGTAAAATAATATACTATTAATTATCTTTTCCAAAACCTAAAAGGTTTTGGAAAAGATAATAATATATTTTATGACCGAATTCGGATATCTTTTTTATTTTTTAAATAAATAGTATCTTAGCAAATGACTCAAAAACTCCGATTGGAAAACGACAAGTAGTAGGTACTGATGTAAATTTTTGTCCGTTCTCGTTTACTATTAAGATTCATAAACAGGCAGAGCCATTTTATAAATAAGTTGCTCTTGTTTACCTGCTAATAAAATGTAAAAGAAGAACACAACAAAATTTTTGAAGCATCCAATATAACATGTTTGAAATAGTTTTAAAATAATTATTTAAAAAAAAATTAATTGGAAGTAGGTACATACATATTTATTTTTAATAACTTAAAAACTAGCTGAACATATTTGAAATAATTTTATAAGTAACGTATAAATAATCGAAATGAGATAATTCAAATTGTTGAAATGTGTCAACCTATATTACTTTTATTAACATTTTTGTTAGCCGACACTACTCAACTTACCTTATTGGGAAATACAAAATGTGCATGAAAAATCATACCTCCTCCCTCATTAACATTTGAAACCATACTGAAATATGAATTTGAATTTTTTTTTCATTTTTTCTTTCCTCCTACCTTTCTTTCTTTTTCGTACAATAGAATTTAAATGGGAAGCTTTTAAAAAATGTGTATAATTTCCTGAGATTTTTTAAAAAACGATCAGTTGCATTTAAAGAAAAAAACAGAACGAAGCTAAAAATTCGTAATATTTCGTAAAAAAAATTGAGTATTGGGACTTGTTAGATATAAAGACATTATTGGATAGTGTCGGCAAATGAGAATGTAATGAAATTAATATAAAGCAGTAATTTTAATTATTATCTCATTCCTCAGTATTTAAAAGATACTTATACTCGTAGAATTGTTTCGAATAATTTCAATTAGTTTTTAAGTTATAAAAATAAATATGTATTACATCTTGCGCTTGCAAAATTTATTTGTGTTCTTCTTTCATATTTATTTATAGGTAAAGAAGAATTACATTTTATCTATTTACAAAATTTCCTTACCTGTGCAAGTATGACTATTTTAATTTTAAACGCAAACGGACATGGTATTTTACAATCAGAATTTTTGAGTCATTTGGTAAGATACTACTTATTTCAAAACTAAAAAAATTTTTCAAATCCGGCCATAAAAATATATGTCTTTTCCAAAACATTTTAAATATATTTTATAATTAGGTAATTGAGATATTAAGTTTTTCAAATTTTTCTCAAATAAAAATATAAAATTTCGAAGTGTATATAAAATTTGTATGGGTAAAATAATATTCAATTGTATTTTAGATATTATTTTTTAATTCCGTCTTCATACTCTTTTTAATTGTGTATTTATATCAACATTTAATAATTGTTCTTTCAATAATTTTATTTTCAACTTTGCTTACCATATCTTGAATAAACTTACCCTATAAAAAAATCTCTTCTCATTTAAAAATAATGAAATGCTTCCAGTAAAAAATAAAATGTTGAAGATTAAGGTTGGCTTTTAGTTTTTCCGCTTTTTGTGCATGTATTTCAAGAATTTTAAATAATTATAAATGGAAATATCATTTTAAGTAATAAACATTTGAAATATAACATCGCAATTTCACCTGCTTTACGAGTATAATAAGATATTTGTTATATCTTTTAAAATAACAACATAAATTTATGCTTCACACTAAAATTTTTATAAAATAAGGTCGTGCTTTCAAATTTCTCTCTTAGCACTGGGACTTGTTGGATATAAAGGCATTAACCAAACAACAGACAATTTAATTCCAAAATCTTTATTTTTCCATATAAAAATAGAATTAAAGCTAAAAAAATGTGCACTTTCTCTTAAACAAATAAAACCAGATAATTTTTTTTCGTAGTTTTTCAAAACCCATTAAAAGTTATCATATGAAATCATATATAAGATATATGTAAGTTTAAAAAAATAAATAAAAGCTCATCATTTATCAGCTCATGCGCAGACCTATTTAAAAGCGGGGAAAAGTACGAAACATATTGAAAAAAGAAATGAAATCAATTTACTCACCACACCACATAAAATACTTAAAGGTATAATTTTTAATAGATATAAAACCAAAAACAATGAAAACAAAATTTTTTTGATAATCTGGAAGAGCAAGGTAGCCTTATTACTAATCGTTTTGCATAATAAAAGCGAGGTTATGCGATAACATTAAACTTTTCATGTCGGGTTTGTAGTGGAAAAGCACTTCCGTATAGTATGGAAGTGTATAAATGAACTATTTTTAGGGAGATGTCGGTCTGTTATTGATTTGTGTATGCGTATCCCAAGTTTGGGTGGACTGATTTTGATAAAAATTTGTGTAAAGGTTTATTTCGGCTATGTCATGGATTGATCAAATTTTACGATATGTCAGGCTTTGGCAACCGGACCTTTTATAATGGCGAGGTGCGTTTCCATTAAACCATGATTTACCATGAAGCAAATTTACCCATTTTACCCTAACATAGATTTTACATTTTGTAGCATGTCTGAGCACCTAATTGCCGAACTTTTTTTGATTTTCAATATTTGAGGCTATTTTGCTACCGGAAAAGCTGACGAACTTTTCTATGGATTCTAATGGCACAAAGCAAACATAATTTCTACTAGAAGCCAAATTTGCATTTTTCTGTGTATGTTTACTAAAAGCCTACTAGAATTTTACTAAAAGCCTACTAGCAACACTTGCTAACCTAGACATTACATCTTACAATAGATTATGTGTTGATCATAACAGATTTTATTTTTTCGTTTTGTTACTTTTTTCATTCATATTTTATGCTCAATGGTAGATCAGTTGGAGTTTAATGTTTTTCATTTATGTTGTATAATTTATTTATGCAGTTTTGGCCAATATTTTTTATTTTTGTTATGTTTTCGCTGATCTTGATAATAAACACTTTAATTAAAAAGTAAAAAACTGGAATATTTTATTAAGTAAGTAATATTAAAAAGCATATTGAAGTAACAGTAAATTTATGTGGCTCAATGGTCTAGGGGTATGATTCTCGCTTTGGGTGCGAGAGGTCCCGGGTTCAAATCCCGGTTGAGCCCAAAAATTTTTTTTTCTTGATAAAAATAAAATACTCCAATATATTTTTTAAAATATTTAACAATTCATATTTATAAACATTCTGACATTTTAGGATTAAATTTTTTTTTTCAATTTAAAGATAAACATTTTTGCTTTAACAAATAATAAATAGTTTTTTAATATAATTAATTTTATTAAAAATTAATAAATTAATTTTAAGGATTAAAAAAAAATTGCATCGGCCGGGAATCGAACCCGGGCCGCCCGCGTGGCAGGCGAGCATTCTACCACTGAACCACCAATGCTCATAATAAAT